CGCGGCGACCCCAGCCCAGGAAGGAATCTAAAAACTAGGTTCCTACATTTGGTGCATTGGCCGGGAAAGGGGGTCACCCGAGGACCCTCGACCCCTCCGGTGGAGACCCAATTGGCCCGGGCCACCGACTGCTGACGAACGGACTCTGTCAGGTACTTTCGTTTCACTCTGTGCTCTGTCTTGCCGGCTAGCTCTGAGGGGTACTCCGTCTGAATAATCAAGTGGGGAAGGGGGACAGACGTGTCCGGCACCTTCCCCCTTGCACCCCGGGGGACGCCCTGGCAGTTTTCGGGAGGAAAGCTGACGACTCTGTTGGCCTCCTCAAATCGGTAGGCAGGTCGCCCCTGCCATCTGAATCTTTTGTAATCTTGTGGCGCCACTCTCCGGCCGTGCGGCTCCTCTGTGTTTGTTTGGTCACTGTGTATATTGTTGTCATTTCGTCCTTGTGTGTGCGTGACTTTCTGGACGAAACTATGGGACAGACACTAACAACTCCTTTAGCCTTGACTTTGACCCACTTCCCTGACGTCCGGGCGTGAGCCTGCGATCTCTCCGTGGAAGTCCGTAAAGGACGATGGCAAAATTTCTGTTCGTCTGAATGGCCAACCCTCCAGGTTGGGTGGCCCCAAGACGGAACATTTGACCTCTCCATTATCTTACAGGTTAAAGCAAAAGTGATGAATCCTGGGCCACAAGGACACCAGGACCAAGTGGCCTACATAATCACCTGGGAAGATTTGGTCCGAAACCCCCCTTCCTGGGTGAAACCCTTCTTTCATTCCCCCTCCCCATCCCAATCTACCCTCCTTGCCATGGAAGCCCCAAAGAATCAGACTCCGGATCCTCCTAAGCCAGTCCTCCCTGATGGAACTCAGCAAGACCTCCTCCTTTTCGACCCTCCGCCTCCTCCTCCTCCTCACAACCCCCTCCTGAGGCCTCCACCTTACGCTTCACCCTCGTCCCTTACCCTATCCCCAATCCCTCCCACTACTCCCTCGGCCCCTACTCTTTCTCCAGCCCCCTCATCGGTCCCTCCCTCGACCTCGCCTCCCTCTCCAACCCCGCCCGAATTAACCCCTAGAACGCCGCCACCAACACCTCGTCTCCGCTTGCGGCGGACTGAAGACCCGGATGGCACTCCCACCTGGCAGTCTTCCCTTTTCCCCCTTCGCACGGTCAACCGCGCGATCCAGTACTGGCCCTTTTCTGCCTCCGACCTCTACAATTGGAAAACTCACAACCCCCCCTTTTCCCAAGACCCTCAGGCCTTAACCTCATTGATAGAATCCATTCTCCTCACCCACCAGCCTACCTGGGATGATTGTCAACAGTTTTTGCAGGTCCTTCTGACCACTGAAGAAAGGCAACGAGTCCTCCTGGAGGCCCAGAAAAATGTGCCGGGGCCAGGAGGCCTTCCAACCCAGCTCCCCAATGAAATAGACGAGGGATTTCCCCTCACCTGCCCGGACTGGGATTATGAGACAGCACCAGGTAGGGAGAGTCTCCGAATCTATCGCCAGGCTCTGTTGGCAGGTCTCAAGGGGGCAGGGAAACGCCCCACCAATTTGGCCAAGGTAAGGACCATAATTCAGGGAAAGGACGAAAACCCGGCAGCCTTTATGGAAAGACTTCTGGAAGGGTTCCGAATGTATACCCCATTTGATCCAGAGGCTCTAGAACATAAGGCTACCGTGGCCATGTCGTTCATAGACCAAGCAGCACCAGATATTAAAGGAAAACTCCAAAGATTAGATGGGATCCAGACCTATGGATTACAGGAATCAGTCAGAGAGGCAGAAAAAGTGTATAATAAGAGAGAAACCCCTGAGGAAAGGGAGGCCAGGCTAGCGAAGGAACAAGAGGAACGGGAGGATCGAAGAGACCGAAAGAGAGATAAGCACTTGACAAAAATCCTGGCAGCAGTATTAACGGAGAAAGGGTCAGGGAGACAGGGGGAGAAGCGGAGGCGGCCTAAAGTAGACAAGGACCAGTGTGCCTACTGCAAAGAACAAGGGCATTGGATCAAGGACTGCCCCAAGCGTCCTAGAGACCAGAAGAAACCTGCCCCTGTCCTCACCTTAGGTGGACATGGGCGCCCAGCACTCAGTTTTGACCAAGGCAAACGGGCCCCTGTCCTCTCGTACATCTTGGGTCCAGGGGGCAACAGGAGGAAAAATGCACAAATGGACTAACCACCGGACAGTTAACCTTGGGCAAGGAATGGTGACACATTCCTTCTTGGTGGTACCTGAATGTCCATACCCCCTTCTGGGACGAGATCTCCTAACCAAACTCGGAGCTCAGATCCACTTTTCCGAGGCAGGGGCCCAAGTGTTAGACCGAGACGGCCAGCCCATCCAAATTTCGACTGTGTCTCTGCAAGATGAACACCGGCTTTTTGACACCCCGGTCACCACCAGCCTCCCTGATGTTTGGTTACAAGATTTTCCCCAAGCTTGGGCGGAAACGGGAGGACTTGGGCGGGCCAAGTGTCAAGCCCCAATTATAATTGATCTAAAGCCCACGGCGGTGCCTGTGTCTATCAAACAATATCCCATGAGCCGAGAGGCTCATATGGGTATTCGGCAGCACATTATCAAATTTCTAGAACTTGGAGTTTTGCGACCTTGTTGCTCACCCTGGAATACTCCTCTTCTGCCAGTAAAAAAGCCTGGTACCCAGGATTACAGGCCCGTCCAAGATTTGAGAGAAATTAACAAAAGAACTGTGGCTATCCATCCCACGGTCCCCAATCCTTACAACTTGCTCAGTACCTTAAAACCAGACTACAGCTGGTATACAGTACTGGACTTAAAAGATGCCTTCTTTTGTTTACCCCTGGCCCCCCAAAGCCAGGAACTCTTTGCCTTTGAGTGGAAAGACCCTGAGAGAGGAATCTCAGGCCAATTGACCTGGACCCGACTTCTCCAAGGGTTCAAGAACTCTCCCACTCTCTTTGATGAGGCTCTCCACCGGGACCTAACCGACTTCCGGACCCAGCATCCAGAAGTGACCTTGCTCCAGTATGTAGATGACCTCCTCCTGGCGGCCCCCACAAAGGAAGCCTGCATGCAAGGTACTAGGCATCTACTCCAGGAACTGGGTGAAAAAGGATACCGGGCATCCGCCAAGAAGGCACAAATTTGTCAGACCAAGGTAACCTACCTGGGGTACATACTGAGTGAGGGGAAAAGGTGGCTCACCCCTGGGCACATAGAGACTGTAGCTCGCATTCCACCGCCCCGGAATCCCAGAGAGGTGCGTGAATTCCTGGGAACTGCTGGGTTCTGTCGCTTGTGGATACCCGGTTTCGCTGAACTGGCCACCCCCCTTTATACCCTCACCAAGGGAAGCACCCCTTTTACCTGGCAGGAGGAACATCAATTGGCTTTTGAGACTCTAAAGAAAGCACTCCTCTCTGCCCCAGCCCTTGGGTTACCGGATACCTCAAAACCTTTCACCCTCTTCTTAGATGAGAGGCAAGGAATTGCAAAAGGAGTCTTAACCCAGAAATTAGGGCCCTGGAAGAGACTGGTAGCGTATCTGTCTAAAAAACTAGATCCTGTAGCAGCCAGTTGGCCCCCGTGTCTCCGCATCATGGCAGCCACTGCCATGTTAGTCAAAGACTCTGCTAAGTTAACCCTTGGGCAGCCATTGACTGTTATTACTCCACATGCTCTAGAGGCCATAGTGCGACAGCCCCCGGACCGGTGGATTACCAATGCACGCTTGACCCACTACCAGGCCCTCCTATTGGACACAGACCGTGTCCGGTTTGGCCCTCCGGTCACCCTGAACCCTGCAACGCTGCTGCCGCTACCAGAAGACCAACTGAGCCCTCACGACTGTCGGCAGGTGTTGGCAGAAACCCACGGAACGCGGGAGGACCTCAAGGACACAGAACTCCCAGACGCGGACCACACATGGTATACAGACGGCAGCAGCTATCTTGACTCAGGTACCCGGAGGGCGGGAGCGGCAGTGGTAGATGGCCACACCACCATTTGGGCACAGTCACTGCCCCCTGGTACGTCTGCACAAAAGGCTGAGCTAATAGCACTAACAAAGACCCTAGAGCTGTCCAAGGGGAAAAAGGCTAATATTTATACAGATAGCCGATATGCTTTTGCAACGGCTCATACCCATGGAAGTATTTATGAAAGAAGAGGTCTCCTAACATCAGAGGGGAAAGAAATCAAGAACAAAGCTGAAATAATTGCCTTATTAAAAGCCCTCTTCCTCCCATGAGAAGTAGCCATAATCCACTGTCCCGGACATCAGAAAGGACAGGATCCAGTTGCAGTGGGAAACAGACAGGCAGACCACGTGGCCAAGCAGGCAGCCATGGCAAAAGTACTAACCTTAGCCTCAGAACCCAACAAAACCGACCAGGATGGACACACCTACACCCCAGAAGACCAGGAAGAGGCAAGAGCCATAGGAGCTATAGAAAACAAGGACACCAAGAACTGGGAAAAAGAAGGGAAGACAGTCCTCCCACAAAAAGAAGCCATGGCTATGATCCAGCAGATGCACGCCTGGACACACTTAGGTAGCCGGAAGTTAAAAATGTTGATTGAAAAAACTGACTTTCTAATTCCTAAGGCAAGTACTCTAATAGAACAGGTGACTTCTGCCTGCAAGGTCTGTCAGCAGGTGAACGCTGGGGCTACTCGAGTGCCAGCAGGAATACGAACCCGTGGCAGCCGCCCGGGGGCTTATTGGGAGGTAGACTTCACTGAAGTAAAACCTCACTATGCTGGGTATAAGTACTTACTAGTGTTTGTAGATACCTTTTCAGGATGGGTAGAAGCCTACCCCACCCGGCAAGAAACGGCACACATAGTAGCCAAGAAGATTCTGGAAGAAATCTTTCCTAGATTTGGACTTCCCAAGGTAATTGGGTCAGACAATGGGCCGGCCTTCGTTTCCCAGGTAAGTCAGGGGCTAGCCAGGATACTGGGGATTAATTGGAAATTGCATTGTGCTTATAGACCCCAGAGCTCAGGACAGGTAGAAAGAATGAATAGAACAATAAAGAGACCCTTACTAAATTGACCTTAGAGACTGGCTTAAAAGATTGGAGATGCCTCCTATCTCTAGCTCTATTAAGAGCCCGGAATATGCCTAACCGCTTTGGGCTCACTCCATATGAAATCCTCTACGGAGGACCTCCCCCTTTGTCGACTCTACTTGACTCCTTTTCTCCCTCCAACTCTAAGACTGACCTGCAGGCCCGGCTAAAAGGACTACAAGCAGTACAGGCCCAAATCTGGGCCCCCTTGGCAGAACTGTACCGGCCAGGACATTCGCAGACCAGCCTCCCCTTCTAGGTGGGGGACTCCGTCTACGTTAGACGACACCGTTCTCAAGGACTGGAGCCTCGGTGGAAAGGACCCTACATTGTTCTCCTGACCACACCCACAGCCATAAAGGTTGACGGAATCGCCACTTGGATCCACACATCCCACGCCAAGGCTGCTCCAGAGACGCCCGGACCACCTGGGACATGGAGACTCCGTCGCTCCGAGGACCCCCTCAAGATAAGACTCACTCGTACCTAACCCTTTACTTACTACTATCCCTCCTTCCCCGCGTCGCTGACACCAAAAACCCCCACCAACCTTTTAACCTAACCTGGAGAGTAACTAATTTTAATACCCATGAAGTCCTATATGAGACTTCACAAATTGCCCCTGTGGGAACTTGGTTCCCTGACCTCTATCTCAACCTAGATAAAGTAGCAGGGGTAGATAACATGGAAGGGGGAGCATGGAGAAAACAGGCTAGAAGGGTGTCCATAAGCCGGAACGGGTTCTATGCCTGCCCCGGATTCCGGACAGGAAAAATGAAACAAACTTGCGGGGATATAACTTCCCTGTATTGTGCTAGCTGGACTTGTGTAACTACTAATGATGGAGAATGGAAATGGGCCACAACACCATGGTACATATCCATGTCCTTTGTTAAGCCCTGCACCAGAACCCGGTATTCGGCCGATTATAATCTGGTCTGCATCAAATTCAAAAAAGCGGCGAAATCTGATGGCCGATGGATGTCAGGGTTAATATGGGGCCTATATTTACACCAAAAGCCACTGTTTGGGATCCCCATCCAAATTAGGCTAGCAGTCAGCCCTGCCTCAGCTCCTGTCTCAATAGGGCAAAACCCAGTTTTACCAGAAGCAAGGCCTCCTCAGCCGGAGGCCCCTCAGGGCCCTCAGCCAAAGGCCCCTCAAGGCACTACCCTGCCCTTGAGTTCTCCGGGCTTAGGTGACAGGCTCCTTAATCTCATAAAGGGCTCTTACTTTGCCTTGAACCAGACCAGGCCAGAATCCACCTCCTCTTGTTGGCTGTGCCTAGCGACAGCCCCCCCTTATTATGAGGGCATTGCCTCCACTAATAATTTCACCAACTCCACTAATCCTACTGGATGTGCATGGGATCAGCATAAAAAGCTGACCCTGGCTGAAGTTTCCGGGTCAGGAATCTGTATAGGAAAGGTGCCCACTAGCCATCAGCATCTCTGTGACAAGATTCTGACAGTGCCTAGCTCCAATCACTATTTGGTCCCTTCCAGGACAGACTGGTGGGCTTGCAACACTGGACTCACTCCCTGTGTATCCACAGCAGCGTTTAACCGCAGCACAGACTACTGCGTGTTAGTACAGGTTGTTCCCTGAGTATACTATCACTCTGGAGACTCCTTTGACCTCCGGTATGAACAGAAAGCTTATAGTAGACCCAAAAGAGAACCTGTCTCACTCACCCTCGCTGTAATGCTAGGAGTGGGGGTAGCAGCTGGGGTTGGGACCGGAACAGCAGCTTTAGTACGTGGTAGCTACCATCTGCAACAACTTAGGGCAGCCATGGATGAGGACCTTAGAGCCATAGAACACTCTATTTCAAAACTTGAAGAATCTCTAACCTCTCTGTCTGAAGTTGTATTGCAAAACCGGCGAGGACTAGAAATTGTGTTCTTAAAGGAAGGTGGGCTCTGTGCAGCCCTCAAAGAACAATGTTGCTTTTACGCAGACCATTCAGGAGTGGTTAAAGATTCTATGGCAAAACTAAGAGAAAGATTAGACAAACGAAAAAAGGAAAGAGAGTCTCAACAAAATTGGTTTGAAAGCTGGTACAACCAGTCCCCTTGGTTCAGCACCTTAGTCTCCACCAACTTAGGCCCCCTTATCCTACTCATGCTCATCCTGACTTTCGGGCCGTGTATACTTAACCGCTTGCTTGCCTTTATTAAAGATAAGTTAAACATTGTGCAGGCTATGGTCCTGACCCAACAGTACCAAGCCCTCAGGACAGAAGAGGAGGCTCAAGATTGAGCCTCTTGGTCACAAAAAGAGGAGGAAATGAAAATAGATTTAGAAACTTAGGAGCCTTTAGAAACTTAGAAACCTTTAGACTTTTAGACTTATAAACTT